ACTTAATGTGAAAATAATTTCCCCTTTAAATAAGTAGTAAAGCCTGTCTCCTACACTTTCTGCTCACCAGATGCAATCTTGTTAACTGCACGCCTGGATGCTTGTCACCAAAACTTTCCACCCATTTGCCTCTTGGGTACAGCTCAGATGCACAACTAAAACCTACGCACCGTCTTCCCAAAGAGTGGAGATACCTCAAAGCTTTCCTTTCATACGCTGCATTATCTCTGTGGCAGTAATTATCCATAAAACTATGCCATCAGATGGTTCCGATTTCCAATATCAGCCCAATAAATGTGTTTAAATTTTTGAATTATCATATTTATGTAGATATGTGTTACTAATAGTGATTATGTTTGCTATGTGGGTAGGAAATCAGCCTTTCTTATATTGCGCATTCTCACATATTTCTCAGACATTTCATCACACGTTTAATCTGCCCCTGTCTCCGATTTGCTACTGAACCTGTAGTCAAGGCAGAGAGGGGGACAATACCGGATGAGATTATGAAGCATGTCTGTTAAAGCATGTCTGTTTGATCATCGTTCTGTTTAGGTGAAGTTCTCCACTTGGTCTCTTCAGTCCCTGACAGCAGATATATAACCTAATCTCTTTCCCCAACCCTTTTCTTTGGCATGAATAGGGTGGAAATGTGATGGCATTAAGTCGATTTACTCCTTGGTTTGCAGTTTCAGCCCTTAATGCTTCTTGGCTCCTCTTCAACACACTCGCTCCATTTAGATTTCCAAAATATAAATGTTGCGTTAAGGCTCCCCCATTTATTTTTATTTATCCATCATTTGAAGTTCGTGCATATATTTACCCTGCAAATAATGCTTGTTTATTTGTGGCACCATCTACATCAAGGACACCGTCAGAGATTTCAGGGCGATCAAATACAACTTGTGTGCTTTCTTCCAAAACCGAATATTATCAGCAACAAAGGGCACAATCTCAGGCTTTAAGACATTCTTTGGGAATAGTGGTTTGATATTTCACATTTACTCATCTAAATCTTAATTTAGTCCCTCGAGCACGTGTTGACACCCAAAGAAAAGCCATTTTAACACGTCTTTGTATTTCAGCTGAAGGTGTTTATAAGCTGCGTCGAAATACCTGTCCTGATACCTGAGATCTAAACTTCTGCTCACATAAAACTGCAGGTTAATTTGAACTTTTTAAAGAAATTACTCATTTGTTTTTGCAAGTATTGTATGCATTCATGTATAACAGTGGTTCCCAAACTTTTGATCTTCTGACCCACAAAATATTCATGGCAAAAACTTGTGACCCCGAATATTACTGGTCAGAGTACACAAACTTTAATAACCGTAAAAACAAAGGCTGCACAAATATAAATACTTATTTATACTTATTTTGTGTTTTTGTAATAATTACAGGGAAAATATTACATCATCAATTATTTTATTACACTTTAAATTGATTTCTGAAGTGCAGTGGTTCCCAAACTTTTCAGCATTTGACCCACAAAATAACAGTAGCAGAGACCTGTGCCCACAACTATTTTTGGA